ATAGTGACAGCACCATGAAGAAGAAATCCTTATTGTAAAATGATAAATAAGGATGCTTTCTAAAAATGGAAAAACACCCTGTCCAAAAAATTGATTTTCATCTTATACAACCACACACACACCTATATGTACCTATTAGGGTACAACCTAATAACTCTTTCTCTTTTTGTATTTTTCTTAAACTTTTTAATGCTCCATTTCACCTACCCTAACAATGACTTTCTAATTCTCCTATGGAAAACAATGATACTTGGTACTTCTCTGAAAACTAATATTGTTCAGTTTTATCCAAAGAAACAAATATTTGTCTCTTTCCACTACTGTTCTAGAGCAAACCAGAGAATGACGTAAGTTAAAGTGGCCTGTTTAGACTCTGAAAAAGGGCAGGACTAAGAGTGATATGTAGACTCTAAGAACTTACACTGGTTTTGTCACTCCTGCTATATATTCACTAATAATATTTAAATGATGACTATCATTTTTCCGTCATCTTCACACAAGAGATTGTGTTTCTAGTGAACTGTTTTAGGTACATGGGATGCCTAGCAAGAATGGCAACATGACATCTCCCAACTGGACAATTCCAAATTATTGGGTGTTCCTAAAATACCAAAAAAATGGAAAACAGGAGTTTTTTAAATGGCTTTATTAAAAGCAAAATTAATTTGTATCTCACCTGGCCAGATCATTGAATACTAGTATTACAATAATATATTATTATTGTATATATATAGGTAATAGAGGAATTATTGATGATTTTTAATTTCACTTTTGTCAGAAGATTTATTTCAAATTGGTTTGAAATTACTTACCTCCATGCTTTTTTGTATTAATATATTTAATAAATTGATGACATATTTCTCATGTTGCATGTAGTAAATAGCATAATTCCTGATGTGTAACAGAAATCTAATAAATGTTTGTTTTATGAGTGAATAAATAAACAGGCATCTGTAATCCTAAGCAAATGATACAGCCTAAAGTAAGTAGTTACTCAAGGCCACCATGTTTAGAAATATGTTTTCACATTTATAGTGCAAAAGATACTTGGTTTGACAGATATTTGCATTTGAAGAATAATCTCCAAATGCACAAAACAGATGTACATTACAACTAGAGCTGAATGAAGTAGTGGATTTTGCAATCATGGGCTAAAATCAGTTCTCGAGGCAATATATTTTGTTCTATCATTGCCATTTATGTCATAGTTTTCCTGTACTTGGCAAAAGCAGAAAATCTAAAATTTGCACATGTGTTATATTATTGTATATGTAATAGATGTCCCTTTCACCAACAGTTTACTCACATAAAATGAGCAAAAAAAAAAAAAAAAAAACTTGTGGCATAACAAGAGAGTGTCTAATTTGAAGCTAAACACATAGAAAGAAAAGCATTTTCTAACAGTGCAGTTTAGATAAAATTTATCAACAAAGAACCATCTATTTAATAGCATTTACATTATCTTGTTTGAAACAGAAATATAAAATATAATACAGATGTGTTAAGAACTAAATAGTCTTATCTATCATTTTTATTTCCTATATTACTCCTTATGTTATAGTATTCCAAAATGATGAGTGAATTTATAATGTGGACTTTTAATACAGGAGAAGTAAAATGTATTGTTATTTTCCACAAATAAACATAATACATCATAACTAACATGTTTACATATAGCCATAATTCTCTTAGTACAACAATCCTATAACATGATATAACAATCATATTAAAATGTATCAAATCATAGCAATATGTCTAAAGCATTAGTTTTCAAACTGTGGTCCCATAGCCAGAAGCAATGTTTTTACCTGGAAACTTAGAAGTGCGTATTCTCAAGCCCTTTCAAAGAACCACTAAATCAGAAACTCTAGAGCTGCACCCCAACAATTTATAAATTTAACAAGTCTTATAGGTGATTCTGATACATGCTAAAATAAAAATATCCCAAATAATAAGATGCATATTGATAGAAGAATTGAATTGAGGAGAGCTGATGTATGTTACCAAAGTTGAATGGAGAACACTAAATCACTTATAAAGATTTCTAAATTTCTTAGAAATAATCAACTAATTATATGTATATTTACAGACAAAACCTTGAGGACAAGAATCAGATATTTATGTACTAATTCTAGGCAATTAACACTATGAAACAATTGGTAATTGTTTTTCTGTAGCAATATATTGATTTCTTCAACATGCTAAAATTCCCCATAACTGAAGACACTCAATTTAACTATATTATTAAACATCCGTTTTGTGAGACTAACTTAACACTTAATTTTGCAAATATTTGTACAAGATATGGTAAGCTAAATTGACTGCCTCTCTTAAATTCCACTTGTATTTCCAGAGAGACAGATGGTGAAGACCCTGGCACTTTCATATGTCATTTCTTATTCAGTAACTTATTAAATTTCAAATGTAGTAATTTTTTCAACAAATTTTTATTGAGGTAGATTTTTCCTGATGCTTTTTAAATGAGTGACATCAGCTTAAAGGGAGAAGATTTTTCAGGCTTATACAAGACCCACTTCCTGAATGGATGTGGACTACATGTAAAATGGTATCAAGTTTACAGGTTTTAAATATAGAGCTGCTGTTGATTCACAAAGATAAATATATACATAAATGGAAACATTTAATTTTGGCATAAATTATTACATGAAGCAGACTAATACTTCAGTTGCTTAATAGTTCATATTGGCATGTTTGCATTTGCTGTGGGAAGTCAAAGTTTACTTGAATAACGTTTTAATTTCACATTCATTAACAGTTTCTTACATGTACTATGAAGAAGCTGGGAAATAAGCATATGGCAAAATTTTTAATAAATTCTCTTTACCAAGAAATATTTGACACATGTTCAAATACTATTGTAACACTTTACACTAAGTAAACTTTTATGACCCAGAAATAAAGAGATTTTATGAAAGAAATAACCAAAAAAAAAAAGTATATAGTGTATGTGTTTTTTTCTGAACAGGATATTTTATACTATAAAAATAATTAAGATATAAAATAATACAACTTTTTATACTCAAATGTTTGGTTTACTTAAGAGACAGTCAATAAATATTTCAAATTTACCTCTATCTGCAATTACTTTTTACCCTGCTTCTCTGAAAAGTGATTTCATTCCTAGCAAAATTCTATATCTGATAATATCATTATGCCATTCCTAACTTTTGCGCTTTGATAATCACATTTGTTACTCAGATATATTTATGTACATAGTACTAAAATCTACTTCGATATTTCAGTTTATCTATGGGACTTTGATGTTTCAGATGAATATTAAGATCTTAGATATTATCCTTGACTTTAACAACCACTGTGATCAAAAAGAAGCTTTCAAGTTTTGGTTGGCTGTTGCATCTAAATATAATAACATCCTAGACCATGGCATTGGTGAGCATAACCTAGTATAAAACATTTACATAATCTCCCCTTCTATCTTTCCTTATAATAGCTTCATCATAAATTATGTAAGTTATAATAAATTTATAGGGTATCATTAAATAAGGAGGCTATTTACCTAATAATTGTTACACTGGGTAGGAAAATACAATTACATGTGTCTGATGACTAAACAGATAAGGATAGTTGTTAACGAATGACACATACAAAAGTAATAAATATCACAAAAATACCTACACACAATATTAGTGCATAGAGTTCTGACCAGTTTTTCCACATTAAGGTGATGATAAATTCTCTTACATGTAAATGTAATTTTCATGTGTCCTTCTAGACTTGTTTTTTTAATTCATTAACATTTTGAGTCTCTCCTGTGAGCCCAGGATATTTATACCAAATTGGGGCCTTTATCTCTATGATATGCTTGGAAGTTCTTATCTCTCATTCCACTATTGCACATAGTTAAATGTTCATAAATCAAGTCATAACATACAATGATAGATAAAAAAAAGATTACATAAGGCAAGATTACATAAAAAGGAACTGTATATTTTTGATCAGAAATTTGGAAAAGAATATATAGGTATAGCTTGTAGACAAAAAATATATAAGCTTGTAAAGGTTGTTGTACCAAACTGTTTTAAACATTTGCTATTTTAATTTGCAATCTGTTCAAGCCACTTGTTTGTATGCAATATGTCTACATGTCTATAGTCTTTTTTTTATTCAGTGTTTTAAACTCAGACTTAACGATTATTCATGTCATATTCTAGTGATGGTTTCTATGTCTCCTCATGCTTATGCATATATTAACTGTATTTTGTCTCTGAGAAAGTATTGCTTCTATGCTCCCCTTTTATTTAGTTCAACTATTTATAAACTCATGGATATTCAATTTATTTCATAAAATATAATCAAACACAATTGCTATTCAGATTATTGATAAATTGTTCCAGTTTGGGCCCTTTCAATGTATAATCATGCCTTTAATGAGCAATTTAATTTCATTTTATTTAGTCATTCAGGGGTTATAAGATAAGTCCAGAAAATAATAGAGTTGTATTTACAACATGAACTCAAATTGCTAAGTAATTATTTCCATGGAAAGGATTATATATAATTTAAAAATCTGTTAACTATACTTTTATATTATTTATGTAATATATTAAATGATATATAATGATTTCAAACCTGTTATCTCTGTGAGGCAGGGAAAATAAACACATTATTATTATGTAAATTTGGTTTTTTAAATTTTATAACATTAAGTTTTAATTCTATAGTAAGAGAATATTTTACATTGAAAATAACAGTTGATTTGTATAAGAGGAGTTTTTTTTTTAAATTTTTCATTTCTGATTTCTTAAATTTGATAAACTTGTGGGACTTTTTCAGATATGGTTAGATAGGTGAAACCAGTAATTGGCCGTAAGTTTCTGTTAATATCTTGATTTCTACTACAAGAAATCAGGTTTTCCCCTTTAACTCCCAGTACTCTTGGCCTCTTTATGATGTCATCTCTTAACTTCACTAATTTGAACTTAGTGTGCTTATGTCCTGGCAAATCATAGGTGGGGGAAATGTCTGTACCAAGATTGTAAGTCCTTTTGTCAAATTTTATGTTTTAAATAACTGAAATGCTCTAGTTAGTTTTACGCTTATTCTACTTAGTATAAAGACATGTTTATTTTATCATTATTTTATCATGGATAAACAAGATATTATATGTTTAGCAGAGATACACTTTCTCAAGCAACATCATAAGTTGTTTTGATACAAAACTTGTTAAGCTCAAAAAGAAAGCTGTTCTCTGTGCTCAGTTTTCCCTCTCCTGTCATATAACTCTTTAATAACTTTATTCAAACCTCAACAATCCTACTCAAGAGCTTCACTTCTTATCTTTGCCTCCAACTCAGATTGCATCAGTCAACTCAATTGTTGCATTTTGAATAGGTCTAAGACTTCTGAAGGAAGTTAGAGAGGATTTCATAAAAATTTCTTATAGATGGGCTGTTTAAAAATACGAACTTTCTTATATCTCTGTGTTTTTTCCTCTCACACACACATATATACAGGCTATTCTAGTTATTATTTTATCATATGTCACTGCTAGTAAATGATATTTATAGAGTTTATCTATTTTACCTATTTTACTAAATCTATTACCATAATATCCTAAGTGATATTATTCATTATCTTTTTAAGTCGATATGCATCAGTCCTAATAGCAGCAATTTGTGTCTTCCCTCTCTTTTTCTTTACCAGGTTTTCTAAGAGTTAGTAGTCAGTTTCAGTAATAAAATAAACATATCTTGTTATTATAAATCTGGCCTAACTTAGTTTTCTATTTTATTGATTTTGGTTTATAGCTTTCTCATATTCTTCCTTTGCATTTAGTTTGATATTTTCCCAATTTTAAAGCAGAGTAAAAATATTTTAAGTTATCTTTTAATATAAGTCATTAAATTTATAAAATCTCTAAAACTCTTTAAACAGTAGTACACAATTTTTGAGATGTTATTGTTCAATTGTTTCTTTTTGTATACATGTGCATTGTGATTTCTATTTATCCATCTATTATTTAGAAGGGGCTTTTTATTTTTTTTAATATTTGTGTGTTGTCCAGAAAAAAAATTTGTTAGTGATTAAATTACTTGGTGATCAAAGGTTATGCCTTAAAAGTTACACAAAGAATTAGTGGAGTATGACTACATAGCATCTTTCAAATCTCAAATTTAATAATATTGTGTTATAAACCTGAAACATTTCTTATTTCAGGACATATAAAACAGAATTTCATAACTGTGGTTGAATAGCAAAATTGTATGTACTTTAAGCATTACATCAGTTAAGAAAACACTAAACCAGAGAAATTATTGGTTAAAGTAGCCTAAGTTTTATTCAATTGATATATTCAATTGTTATGGAATGACAAAAAAGTTCCTGGTTTTGAAAATATTAATGTATCAAAATAGTTAAAAATGTATACTTTGTTCTTAATATGTATGTTAAAATAAGTACAGTGAGTGTAAGAGTGTGTGTGTGTGTGTGTGTGTGTATATGTGTAAAACTCAGGATAAACAATAGTTTTATTGCTATAATAGAGAAAAAATATTTCTCTAACAGAACTTAGGATTTGCTTCCATTAAAAATAAGTAAAAGTTAGATTATAAAGCTCCCTTTTGGGACACAAATATTTTCATATAATACTGAAGTAAATTGAAATTTATAAATAGCAACTACAATTTTATTTCTTAGCTCTTCCTAGAGAACAAAAGTACAGATCAACATTGACTTAGATTTGGCTAAATGATAATATTTTAAAGATTTGATTTTACTTATGCATAGTTAAAATTCACTTGCAAGAGAATTTGAATAGTTAAGTAGGGAAAATAATTCAAAAAATAAAACAAGTCTGTATTTCAGATACACAAGTTGGTGAGGATTTTGTAAATGATTTTATGCAATTTGTTATGATTTTGCTGGTTTATGCTAAAACTGCACACTTACTCATCCCTATTTTTCTGAGGTAATCTTTTACAATAATAGAACTCTGAGTACAAAATATTCTCACGGTGGTCATGACAAATACTTATACATAATAATACATCTTTTAATAGAGTGATTTTGTGTAAATTAATTAAAACTTTCCCTTTTATTTTAATAGCCAAAAAATAAACTTTGGAACATATGACAATTACATTCCAGGTAAGAAATAATTCAAAAAATGGTTCATAGGTGACCTGATGGTGGGAATTTTAGGGGGATTACAAAATAATGTAAACAAAGCAAATAAAATAAATTATTTTTTAAAAGAGGAGAAAAAGTGCTTTTAAAACTAGTATGGGGCCCTCCCTGGTGGTGCAGCGGGTTAAAGCACAGCACTGAGAAGCTTAAGCCACTTCCGCATGAGTTCAATTCCCTGCCTGTCCCAAAGGTGATCCAACATGGCGGGGCAGACCTGTCCTGACCCGCTCTCTGCTCCCCTCAGCAATGTACTTCGTTGATCTGCCTGTTCTGCCCCCCGTTCTGTCTCTGGTGAATCCTCTCACCCTCCGCATCTCTGGCCTGTACCCCAGTTCTGTATGAATAAATAAATAAGTCTTAAAATAAAATAAAATAACACTAGTATGATTAATTTTAAATAAATTATTATTATCCTCCGATGAAAATAAGCCAATAAATGTCATGAAAAATTATTATAAATCAACAATTTTTTTTCCCATGGAAGCTTTCTTATGAGTTTAACAAACACCTAAGGTACTTTGTTTTAAATACAATGTAGAATTAGCAAATTTTTCAGCATTTTAAAGATGGAAAAACTTACCTGTTGGAAGACATACCATTAAATAATCTAACAGCTGAAAACAGTACAACAACTAAGTAAATTCTCACCAATGTCAGGAATTCTACTGTATTCTTGATATCTTATATCGTTTGTAACTGACAAAAAAAATTCTTACTTGACAAGATCAATTTGATGCCAAAAGACTTCATACATTAAGTGATTTGCCCTTAAATATTGAGTTAAAACATGCTTTCATTCGGTATATCTCTCATAGATCCAGATAGTCTTTTAAGAAACTTACAAACAAGTCTATTTCATTTTATAGACAGTAACACTACACCAATTTAAATACAATCAGGAGTTATCTCACTTGTCTCTTTGGTAACCTAAATATCTTTAACATTTTTCTGTTTTCAGGTAATTTTTCTCTCCTAGTCACAATTCCATAACTACTCTTTATTTGACATTCTTCTTCACTAATATGCTATGTCTAACATTGTAGTTCTTGGCTGTGTAACTTTTACTCTTGAAGCCTGAGAAACGATTACTAACTAAGGGAAAATTAGCCATTAGTATTTAGGTTTAATCATATATTTATTAAATATTTTATAACAACCCTTGCACTAGCTACTTTAGGGGTTTAAAATGTAGTTACTATATTTTCTGTCCTCAGTGGAACTATATTATAATCAAAAGAATATCAAGCAAAATTCTAGACTGGCAGAGATACACACACAATAGAATACTACTCAGCAATCAAAAAAAGATTAAACTCATGCCATTTGCAGCAAATGTGATGGAGCTAGAAGGGATTACGCTCAGTGAAGTCAGAAGAAAAAAGAATAATATTTGTAAGGGATCGGAAAAAATAATAACAAAAAAATTGGCAGACCACTGTAAATCAAAAGATTTATAATGGGGTCTAAATGGGAGGGAGGAGAACAAGGGACTTGGGCAATGGCGAAATGGGTAACTGGTGGGGGGAATTCCATGGGGACTACACCTGAGATGAGAAAGCAAACATTGTACAAAAATGAAAAATGATGCATATATAAATGAATAAATTATATTAAAACATAAAAAATAAAAGGAAGCAATGGAACTGCTTCTTTCCCCACTTCCATTACAGATAATACTAGTTTTACAATGACTACTTAGCTGTAAAACTGGCTGAAGTCAGGAAAACAGAGAATTTCAAACATTATCAAATAAATTAGGCCACAATATGAAAGTTGTGTATTTAAATGAAATATATTACCTTGTTGATAATTTAGTTCTCATTTAATTCTATTTACTTCAAAGTATATGTTTAATGTTTTCTTCTTTTAGTCAGTGAATTAAGCAAAAAATCATGGAATCAGCAACACTTTGCCCTGGGATTTCCCAAACCACCACGGCCAGGAAAAAAAAGGAGATCAAAACCTTCCCAACTACGAGCCAGTGCAGAAGCTTCTGTGAGTATTTAAGAAAGGATACAATTTCACTATAACAAAGTTGTGATGGCATACATAATCACATTGTTATAGGTCAACACGGGAGATTATTTTATAGAATATTTTATGACTTTGCACACCAATGTGACTTTTCTGTTAAAAATAAGGAGTTACATTTTTTAATCACATGTTGTTTTTGAATAAAACATTGGACAGTATAGTAAAAGATAATTAGTATTGTATTACTGAGAAATAAAACATTCTATTTATATTTTATAAAATGTATACAATTGATCTCCCTATTTTATATTAGTGATATGTTCAAGAATTCCATATCAGAAGATATATATTCCAGAAATCTCAAAACACCATTGCTACAATTAGTATTAACATACAGAAACTGCTCTCTACCTGGGAAAACCTTTCAGTAGTATCATGAAGCTGTATTATATGCTGATTAACATTTAGTGCTTCCTCATTTCATGTACTATAGAATTCAGAATTCTGAACACTTGAAGATAAATATCTCCAAACATGTCTGCTGTCATCATAGAATTTGAACATGTTCAAAGAATAGTGTTCATAAGATCACTTATATCACCAGTTGTTTTATTTTATGTTGTTTATGTTATGTATCTAATCAGGAATTATCCAAGTTTTTTGGCTCTTCTAGTGTTCTTTTCATTCAGTTCAGTTTTCCATTCTCTGTTAATATTCTTTAAAACTTTTTTACTGTTGTAATTTAAGTTTTCAAAGTATTTGGTTAGTAGTTTAAAACAAAGCTACCATTCTGTACAAATTAACACACACAATTAATGTTACAGCTTTTATTATGGCAGTTTCCTATTTACCAATAGTCAAATTATATCTGGCTGAGTAGAACAGGTTTCAGGAATTTACTTTTAATCACAGATAACACTCTAAATTGCAGAGGCCTCAAATGTGATAAGAGATGAAGATATGCCTGAATATGGAACTATTTTATTACAAAATAGTTTTTTAGTTAACCTAGGAATATACTTATTTCAAGAATTTTCATTAAAAAAAATAGTCCTCTACTAATTGTGAGAAGATGCTCTGATATGTCCTTCATCAAAAGAGATCTTTACCAGTTTCAACATAAAATCTGAGGGAATTATGAAGGTCCTTAAATTAGGTGCCAAATGTGGCATAATGAGAGGAGGGAGGGGAGTGGGGGAGAGAGGAAGAGGGAGAAAGGTGGAGAGAGGGCAAAGGAGAGGAAGAGAGAGGAGAGAAAGGGAGAGAGGGAAAGAGGGAGAGGGGAGAAGGGGGAGAGGGAGAGAAGTAGAGAGGGAGATGAGGGAGAGAGAGAAATTTTAAAAGCACATAAATTATGAAATGTACATTTTTTATTAAAACATTAAATGTGTTCATGATTGAAGTCAAAATGTTTTTGGTATACGACAAAAAAATAATTGTGTGATTAACACAAATTGTTCATCATTATTCTAATTGATATTTCAGATATATCGTGACGACAGTTTAAAGGAAATGTCTGGACGACCATTATGGATGCATCGTTCTTTGATGAAGATTTCTGAGAGACCCTCTGTTTATTTAGCTGCTAGGAGGCAGCCTCCAGGGAAACAAAGTCGTCGTCCCAAGGAGGACGCTAAAGCAGCAGGTGGAGAGAAACCGTTATCTGCACTAAAAAGTAAAAAAGGTGAAGACAAGAAAGTAGACAAAGATAAATCAGACTCAGAAGGAGAATCTAAAGATTCACAGGAGCTAAAAATAATTAAGAAAGAGTCCAAGAAAGACAAGGTTTTAGAAAAAGAAACTAAAGAAAAAAAGGGTGATGCACAAACAGTTGCCAAGAAAGCTTCAAAGAAAGGTGTGGAATCAACTACAGAATCATCAGAAGGTGAAAAACCGGCTGCAAAGAAAGAGAGCAAAAAAGAACAGAAGGCTCCAAAGAAGGGCCTGGAATCAACTACAGACTCAGAAGGCGAAAAAGTGGCTGTAAAGAAGGAATCCAAAAAAGATCGGAGAGTTTCGAAGGCGGGCGCACAGCTAGTTATTGACTCAGAAGGCGAAAAAGAGGCTGCAAAGAAGGAAT